TTTTTTCTATTTTGTTAATTTCTAGCCTTATTTCTTTCTACTTATTTTGGGTTAATTTGCTCGTATTTTTAATAGCTTCGTAAAGTGAAACTGTACATAGATTTTCTTTGTTCTTTTCTAATATAAGCACTTATGGCTATATGCTTCTAATTTGGCTATACCCTGTACATATTTTGTTTTGTTTTGTATTCCCTTATTCTGTTTGTTTTTGCTTCTTTCCTCTCTTCTTTTGGGTTAATAAAATACTTTTTAGTATTCTATTTTAATCCATCTATTGATTTTTTTAGCTATACTTACTTTCATGATTTTTTAATTATTGAGCGATTATGATATGAAATTTTAATTTATCCTGATCTGTAAGAGTTAATACTGTATTATTTCACATAAAATATATAATTGTGCATACAAAGAGAAAAAGTTCCATGATCTCATGTTGATACTTCCATTTCAAATTTGAGGACACAGAGCTTTTAACTAATCTCGATTTTTATCTTCCATACTGAGAATCCCAATTCTCAAGGACATGGTGATGATGGAATTAAAACATCTCACAATTACTGATATGTGTTAGCCTGGATCATACAGTCTCAGAACAACAATACAAATACTGTAAATAATATGATTACTGAAAACATTTGACAATTCTTTAAAAAAAAAAAAATTTTTAGGAAACCGATTACAAGGATCTACATAAAACCTTCTCCCTGGGGGATGGACAACAGAAAAGTGGGTGAAGGGAGACATCGGACAGCGTAAGATATGACAAAATAATAATAATTTATAAATTATCAAGGGTTCATGGGGGGGAGTGGGGAGGGAGGGGGAAAAATGAGGAGCTGATATCAAGGGCTCAAGTAAAACGCAAATGCTTTGAGAATGATGATGGCAACAAATGTACAAATGTGCTTGACACAATGGATGGATGGATGGATTGTGATAAGAGTAGTATGAGCCCCCAATATAATTATTTGAATAACAAACTACCCCTCCAAAAAATTATTAGGGGCTCTTATCACAATCCATAAATTCATTCACTGTCAAGTACATTTGCACATATGCCACCATCATAATTTTCAAAATACACTTGAGCTCCTGATATCAGCTCCCCATTTCTTCACCCTCCGTCCCCTGCTCACCCACCCTCCCTCAAAAACCCTTGATAAGTTATAGATTATTTTTTTCCATATCTTTCCCTCAAAAACCCTTGATAAGTTATAGATTATTTTTTCCATCTCTTTAATCATCCTACATCAACCCTCTCCCACCGTCCCGACAGGATTGCTGAAGACAAAATGGGTGCAAAATCAAATGTGGTGAAGAAAGCTGATGGTGCCCGGCTATCAAAAGATATAGTGCCTGGGGTGCTAAAGGCTTGAAGGTAAACAAGTGGCCATCCAGCTGAGAAGCAACAAAGCCCACATGGAAGAAAAACACCAGCCTGTGTGATCATGAGGTGTCGATGGGATCAGGTAGCATCCATCAAAGACTGAGAACAAAAACTCATTTCAATGTGAATGAGGGCGAGTGCAGAGTGGAGACCCAAAGCCCATCTGTAGACAATAGGAAATCCCCTCACAGAGGGGTCACAGGGAAGAGATGAGCCAGTCAGGATGCGATGTAGCAACAATGAAACATACAACTTTCCTCAAGTTCTTTGGTGCTTCCTTCACCCCACTATCATGACCTCAATTCTACCTTACAAATTGGATTAGACCAGAGCATGCACACTGCTACAGATAAGAGCCCTCAGCACAGGGAATCCAGGATAAACCCCTCAGGGCCAAGGAGAGTAGAGATACCAGGAGGATTAGGGGAGTGTGGGGGGAGAAAAGAATTGATCAAAAGGATCAACCTAGAACCCCCTCCTAGGGGGGACGAATAATGGAAGACTATTCTTAAATATGCTCTTATTGTTCCACATTTTAAATTTTTTACATTTTAAAAATAGTTACACTATTCTACAATATTAGATCACATAGTCATTACAGATCAGGATAAATTAAAAAACAACATTGCAATAAAAGCACAGAAACCTTTATTAAATGAAAAGCTAGTATTTCTCAATACATCCCCCATCTAGGTCTGTAAATTTCTGAAGGTGGTGTTTCCATCTCCCTAATCTTTCTTCTAGTAAGTCTGTGGTTTTGACTCATACTACAACAAAATGCCAGTTTTAGGTATTCTTGAGGGAGTCGACTCATGTTCCTTTGGTTTCCCAACAAAATTCTCACAGATTTGTTAGCCCTGGCTAACCTTGAAGAACAAGCAGGTGCATTGCCAGGATGAAAAAAAAAAACCCCAACTTTCCTTTTTCTCACCAATGCAGTTTTTAATTATCTTAAAACTTCATTATAATAAAGTCCTCATGATCAGTCTTTATCTAAAGTATCTATCAAGATTATCCCTTGGAAGCCCCAGAATATAGTCACCATAACCTTTTGATCTGACATCTCTGTCTTGAATTTAACTGGCTTAGTGAAAACCCTCTGAAATCACTGTTTTGATTAGGGCCTGTCTGAACTGCATGGGTAAATCCAAGACGAGTCTTCAGTTATGATTTACTTCATAAAATCATCTTCCATAGCTTGGATCTTGCTTAAAAGACAGATGGAAAGCCCTGCTCTTTGAGCTAGCTGATCCTCAGGTAACACTTTGGGTACCACTGAGCCGAATGCTTGCTTTGAAAGAGGCTACGATGCTTCTTTAAAATTTGACATGTCAAACCATGTGCGGTCCCAGCTCGTGGTAATCAATGGTAATTCTCTGGTCATCTTCCATCAGTTTCTGGACTTGAGCTACAGTTTCTTCATTCAAGTCTTACCTCTCTTGGCTCACCTCTGAGGTCTTTTTAATCTTTAGAACTCGATCTATCTGAGAACTGTTGTTTTTATGTGGGGCAGTATTACGATAAACTTATCGCAAAGCTTCAATGACTTGGGAAAGTGGTATGAGTTTTGTCAAAAATTTGACATTTGCATTGACCTCCAAATCATTTTTTCCTGTGGCACAAACAAGCACTCTTGTTTTGGAAGGCAACCCAATGAGATGAAGACAAGTGTATCACTGAGAGAACTTGTCTGCAGCCATCCACTGATCTCTGAGACATGCTTGGTGCATTTTGTTTTGCATAAACATGTGCCTATATGAACTAGAACGCTAGTACCAAAATGATGACGTGCCCTCGTACAACACTCTCCTCTTCTTATTTTCATCTAGTCTCAGTTCTATTAACCATGTTTACCATTATTTCTTAGATCAGTGTATTGCTAATCATTTTGGTGGTCTCACACTCATTTCCTAGTACAAGACAGTCCAATAAACCTTTCTGTGAGGATGGAAATGCTCTATACCTAGGTTGTCTAATATAGTGAATTTTTTAATATGCTCTTCCAGCTATCAAAGCCTTTGTTACTCCCACCAAATGATCTTTGTTTTCCTTATAGACTTGGGTAAGAAGACGAGGTATTGGATTAGAATTCAGTGGTTCTCAACCTTCCTAATGCCACAACCCTTTAATACAGTTCCTCATGTTGTGATGACTCCCCAACCATAACATTCTTTTTGTTGCTACGTCATAACTGTAATTTTGTTACTGTTATGAATCGGGTGACCCTTGTAAAAGGGTTGTTCGACCCCCAAAGGGGTTGTGACCCACAGGTTGAGAACCACTGGATTAGATGATTCAGCTGTGAGTGACTATTAACAGGGATAATTGTGCTGAATATAAAATCAGCCATTTCTGGCGCAGGAGAGGGGATATCTCACTACCAGGAAGAGAGCAGAGCCAGAAGTGGAACTCGCCTTTTAGACACGGAGATCCTTGCACATTGAACTTCCCTGATCCAGGAGACAGCACTGACACCAGAGGAGTAGCAGAGGAGCGGCAGCAGTAGAACCAGGAGCCAAAGCATGAGAGTCAAGTAAAGCTGAGCTTGCTGATTCTTGACACTGGGCTGCGAGCCTTGGGTTTGAGGCTTCAGTAGAGTGGCATGCCTTTTGGACATTTAACAGCCAGCCCTCAAAGAGCTTTGTCACACTGCCTGTGTAGGGCAGAGGCCAGGCCAAGAGGTTGAGGGCCAGAGAGAGGCTGGTTTATGGCACGGCAGACAACAAACTGTGCTGAATTGAGCAACTGTGTCCCGAGCAGTTCTCACCTGTATTTTAATCTGTCAACTTCCATAATAAACCCCATCATCATAAGCTTCACCTGTGAATTCTATGTGGCTACTGCAATGAATTATTAAACCTGATCATATGAAGAGAGATGCTTAATACTATGGGAGACAGAGAAGTATCTAATAGTCACAATGTGATGCTGAGTATTTGAGATGTGGCCTGTAAAACTGAAGAACAAAGTCTTAACTATAAAACAATTCTGACGAACTTAAATTTAAATAGTTCATTATTCATGAGAGTAATGGAGAGGGGGTTTTATGGCACATACAATTTTTGGCTCACACTTTTTTTCTAAGTCTGTTCAGTCTGCTACTCTATTTGCTTCTGGCATCAAGTACCTATAGCTGAGAACGCTATGGCTTGCTTTGGCTCTGTGGATTAGGGAGTGCCCTTGGACAAAAAGCCCTAACCATTTACATTTAACTCACTAGAGTTCTTTACAGGACAGACTTGGCCAGTTTTGGTACCTTCAGATAGTTGCTTTTAATGTCTTGCCCAGATTTTATAAGTATTCTCTGTGGAGGGTTAATCCAACAACCAATTTATCATAACCCAAATATTACTCTTGTAATCAGAGAAAAATAAACTTCAAAATCATCAGATAAAAAAGTATGTCTGTGTACCAACTGGGTGTTCCAAGGTGCCTACACCTGTGATATACTAAGCTAAAAACAGTCTTGGAAAAATAATCAAGAACTTTGCAAAGGTAAGTAACCTAAACTAAAGGAAGCCCGAATGTTGCTTTAGTTTTATATATATATATATCCATATTCAACCTACATTCCTAAACACCAGTGGGACAAGTTACTCTGTAGAAGCCCTACCTGCCATTGACAGGCCAGGTTCGGGTGATATCACTCACGTAGCAGGAAGACTCACAACCACCGTCCAGAAGCACTGTCTCCCCATCCTGGAACAAAAGGAAGATGGGTCAAGTGGGTGACCTCATGACTCTTAAGTTGTTCTGCCTTCTCAACTAAATGCTTGGTGGCTTTCATATTTTACAAAGCTGATTTCAAGAAGACTGACTTCTTGTTTCTGCTCACAAGAAACAGCACCTAACCTTGCCTAATGAATCCACACTTGTAGTATTAAATTAAAAAGATGGCGCGGGGGAGTGGAGGGCCAGCCCCCACTAGCTGCTACTACTACTACTCAACGGGTTCAGTAATGCACAATTGTACGGTTGAGATATATAAGCATTATATTAAAGTCATCAAGAGCATGAGAGATAATACAATAATACAGTCAGGCATGTTACATGGTACCATTGCTCACCTCAGCCCAGCTTGGTGGTCCACGTGGAGAGAGGGGAAGGGAAGGAGGGGAAGGGGAGTGACCAGGGAGTGAGCAGCAAGGAGCTCAGAGTCAGAGCGAGCTCTATATTGCTGACTCACACCTATATACCTTTTGGGGGCAAGCCAGCCCACTAATTACAGGTAGAGACATACGACACAGGGAGGAGTTGCACTATAGGTTACACAGCAGTGAGAGGGTGGTCTCTGGGTCTCCATAGGAACCATTATCAGTAGGGTGCAAACCCCTCCTACAGGAGCCTGTCCATTGTCCCCAGAGGCAGGGAGCAGGCCCACCCCTGTGGTGGGATGAGACAGCAGTCTGGCAACTGATTGCCTTCAAGGGAGGGAATGCCTGCGCATCTGACCTCCCCACACACACACTGGCTCCAAAAAGGCAGTCCTACAGAGAGGATAGGTGCAGGAGCTGTACAGCGAGATTGCTCAAGTGTGAGTTACTAGACACAAAAGTATACACCATTGCTGTTGAGTCAGTTCCAACTCATAGGGATCTTTGCAAGACAGAATAAAATCATACCAATAGTTTCTAAGGTTGTAATCTTTACGGAAGTAGGCTGCCTCATTTTTCAGAGAGTGGCTAGTGGTTTTGAACCATTGCTACCAGAGGGCCTATAAATTCCATGAACATATCCTAAATGTTCTCAATATCATTAATAATCATATAAACCTATGCAATTTTGAATCTGGGACCCTGATTCAAATACAATTACTCGTACTATTTAATTTTGGAGTATTGCTTTCTCTACGCTCCTCTGTCATAATACAAGTAAGAAATGTAGACATTTTGGGGTATATCTTTCCACTTGTCATGTTATATTGAAATGTTGAGTTTTTGCCCTTAAAGATGCAGAAAGGGTCTCTTGAAAACAGACAACCCAAGAACTTCAACTAGAGTTGGAAGTAGTGATAAGCAAGCATTACAGTACATAGCCGAGGAAGTTAGTAGCCTGAATGCTGAAGCCAGAGCTTTTCCTAGAAGACAGATTTACCAAAAGTACCTAGAATGTGACAAAGAGAGGTAAAGTGAACTATGAAAGAGAAATTAGCTTATAGAGAACCAATGAGAAAGTCTAACACCCTTCTAAAGATAAGATAGATCATCAATCTTACAAGCGGTCAAGAGAAAAAAGATTTCCTGCCAAGGATAATTATTATTCTTTTTCTTTGTGTTTTTAAAATCAACAACACTGAAAGTAAGAGAATAGGAATAAAATATTCAACTTTATTAGTGAAAATAACTGTTAACATAGGACTAATTTTTGCTTTTGTTTTGGCATGCCCAGTTTTCAAGATAGGGAATAAAATATATTCTTAGCTAAACAAAAATGGAAGCAGTAGGGAGAAAAAAAAAAAAAAAAGGAAGCAGTTTTATTAGCCACAGACCTCCATCTAAAGCAGTGTTTCTCAAAGTGGGCGATCCCTCGGGGCACTAGAAAAATCCAGGGGACTGCAAAAAATCCAGAATCATGGGATTTATACATGATATAATACAGTAGTTTTATAAGAGAGTAGTTGTTAAATACAATATATACACGTTTTTCATTGGCTGGTGTGTGGTGGGGTGGGGTGAGGTGTGCTGAGTATTTTTTCTGGAGAAGGAGCAGTAGGCCAAATAAGTGTGGGAACCTAGGATCTAATTCAAACCAAAACCAAACTCATAGCCATAGAGCCAATTCTGAATCCCAGGGACCCCTATAGCTCAGGGCAGAAGTGCCCCTGTGGACTTCCTAGAATTCCTTATGGGAGTAGAAAGCCCTTTCTTTCTCCCATAAAGCAGATGGTGGTTTCAAACTGCTCACTCTGTGGCCAGCAGCCCAAGTGTAACCACTAGACCACCAGAGCTCCTGTGATCTAAAGCAGGGGTGTCAAACTGCGGCCCGCGGGCCACATGCAGCCCTCCAAGGTAATTTTTTGTGGACCACGATACTCTGAAATAAAATGCAAATAGAAAAAGTTGTTATGAAGAAAATAGCACTTAGGGGATAATAAGGCAATACCGTACACATAATTCCCTCATTACATTTTATTTCAGAGCATCGTGGGCCACAAAAAATTACCTCAGGGCTGCCAGTTTGATACCCCTGATCTAAAGGATGCTTCTTAAAAAGAAAATAAATCATTTTATTGGGGGCTCTTACAGGAGCATGCTGGCTGGACTTCTCTCAAGACAAATTTATTTATTCTTTTGACAGTGAAAGAATACTTTCAATATTCTTCATCAATACCATTGAATTCAAATGCAAATTCAATTTGAATTATGGTCTTATGAAATAGGTACTACTATATCTATGTTTCAGACGATGAAACTGAGGCACAGTTTAAGGTTTTCATACTACCTATTGTCATCAAACCTGCGACCAAGCAGATAGCTCTCCTGAAGGTGACCAAGCAATCAAGAAGATGGTTGACATTAAAAATGTATGCTCAGAAAACTCTGACAGCAAGTGCTATCCCCCATACCCTGCTACTGTCCATACATCATTTGTATCAAACACATTTGTATAAATGATGCTCTCAATGCAGAAGTAAGGTGATCCCCAAAAGGCCACATAAAGAATGTAAGAGGCAATAGTGGGGCGCTTTGACCTATTCTTAAGTGGTAAGCACACAGGCAGACAACATAAGGCATGCCATGCTGTCCTCTCTGAGTATCCACCAGATGCCAAGGGGCTGGACCACACTGGAACCCTTCTGGATGTACTGTCCTGTGTTTCTCGGGGCTTAGTAACGACGTTGTCCACTGACTTTCCCCAAAGTGGGTATTATAAGCTCTCATAGAGCTGAAGCTGACAACAAGCTCTAAGTTTTCAACTTATTTTCTATTGGGCCAATTTCACCTCACAGCAATACTGCTCTCTCCCTATAATGTTGGGTTTATTTTTATTTCTGTTATCCCAGATTGAATAATATATTATTCAGGAGTAGACACATTAGTGGTCAAACCATTAAAACAAACAAACAAAGGCAAAGCAATGATTACAACCAAAGTTATGATCAATGTATTCTCTGGAAGGCAGGAAGGGTGATGTGACTGGAAATATCCAGAGGTCACTATGGTAAGTGTAATATTTTCTTATCCTTGACGGTGAATACTTGGGTTTTTATTATTATTATTATAACTGTATATTGTACTGTTCTTAATATACAATTTACAACAACAAAACTTAAGGACTATAATGAAAATCCTTTAATACTTAGAATAGAAAAGAACAAACAAAAACTGATGACTTAAGCATGCTAGAAAAAGAGCAATAAATAAACACAAGAAGTGTAAAAATAATAAAGGTAAGGGCACAAAGCAATGAGAGAGAAAACAATGATAAAACAAAAAGGCTCAACAATACCAAAAGTTAGCTGTAAAAGATAAAATACCAACAAACCTCTGGTGAGATTTTTTTAAAGCCAATAATGTTTGAAGGTATAACTTACATTCAGTAAAATGCATAGATCTTTAAGTACCGCAGTCCCCAATTTGCACATGCGATCTCTTCCTACCTTGTGGTTTTAAGAATTTGTAGGTCAGTGAGTACAGGTGCACGTATTTTTACTGAGAGCTAATAAAGGCTCAAGGCCTCTGAGATGATTTAAAAGCAGTACAGGTAGCAAGTGAAGGTGATTGTGATGAGGAATTTGTTGTAAGTAGGAACTGGCTAGAGGATTTCCAAGTGAGAGCAAATTTATCTAACAGCAAAAATACTCCATTGCCATTGAGTCTATACTGACTCACACTGATTCTACATAGGGGTTCCAGGACTATTAATCTTTATGGGAGCAGATAGAATCAGCTTCCTTCCTTAAAGCAGCCGATGGGTTTGAACCACTGCGACCAGGTGGTTAATGGTCCAACACTTTCTTGACAGCGCCACCAGAGCAGGGACCCTGTGCATGTGTGTAGCTCTGCACAGCCTGCCACTAATCTTTCCCATCCATCCGGCCTCTTCCAAGTCTCTTGTTCCAGGACTTGACCCCTGTCATATTTTCCTAATACCCCAAATTGTATCAATTTGGTTTTGTTCCTGCTTTAATTTGTTGGTATTGGAGAACTGATAAGAACCCTGCATTAAAGGGCAAGTAAGAGTTGTTTGTAAGGCAGATGTTTGCAATTTGGGGACTGCCTGTATGTAGCATTAGAACAGTTGTATCGAATGCACACACCCATGTAACCACATCTCCATCCCTCTTCCCATCCAATCCTAACAGCAATGCCCAGTGATCTGCTTTCTCTCAGCATCAATTTATTTTGCAATGTAATCATACACACTGTCCGCCCAAGTCCATAGAGATTGTATATTTTGAAATGAACAGAATCCACTGGGTAGCATACTTGGCCCTGACTAACAAATGAGCAGCTTCCTTTTTTAGGTTTACTTTCATCTACTAACGGGATCCTTGGTAACATAGTGGGTTACATGCTGTGCTGCTAATTGTATGGTCAGCAGTTCAAACTCACCAGCTGCTCCATGGGAGAATAATGAGGCTTTCCACTACCATAAATATGTACAGCCTCAGAAATTCAAAGGGAACAATTCTACTCTGTCCTATAGACTCACTATGAGTCAGAATCGGCTGGTTGGAAGTGGGTTTGACTTCTAGGCATGCTAATAACTACTCCTATCTCAGAGTGCCAATGTAAGGATCCAATGAGATGATGCATTCTATGTAAACAATGTCTCTACACATGGCAGTTAACGTGTGAAAGCTGAGGGTTAGGAGTGGGCGAGGTGTACCTGGCCCCAGAGGAAGCAGAGCAACAGGAGAGGGCACTCTGTGTACCTTGATGAGCTGATTATTGTTCACATAGTGCAAAGTGTTGGACCGATTGCCACCAGCAACCACAGGGGGGTAGGCCAAGATGTCTGCGCCACGAGCCCGGCATTCAAATTCAAACTGTAAAAGACAACAAGACATGACAGAAGGCTTTCTGAAGGGTCTGCCCAAGCCAGGCTCTTGTCAACAGCCCATACCTCGCATCAGGACTGCTACATTATCCATCATGCTTGGACAAACTTTTGATGCTGCAATTTCAGTGCATTTCTTTTATTCTCACCCACATGCTTAACTGGGAGAAAGGCCGGGCTTTGTTACTGCTGTCAACAGTTAGTCTTAGAAACCTACAAGGGCAGTTCCACCCTGTCTTATAGGGTCACTATGAGACAGCATTGACTGGATGGCAGGTAGACATGCTTAATTTATGCTCAGTATATGCTGTACTTTTTTCTCTCTCACCAGTCTTATTATTTAATCCCATTACTAAGTCTCTTCTGAGTGCTCTCTAAATTCCCTATGACTACTAAGAGTCAAAAGAGGACCCTGAGAGTGTAAGAAGGGCTGCATACAAAGATACAATCACATAAGGTCACTGTTTTGTACATTAGTCTTTAAACTGCCCCCTACCCCCGCCTTCTGAGCAAACATTGTCCCTTTTACTTATTTATTTATCATCATTTTATTGGGGGCACATACAATTCTTATCACAATGCATACATACATCAATTGTGTAAAGCGTATTTGTACATTCAATGCCCTCATCATTCTCAAAACATTTGCTCTCCACTTAAGGCCCTGGCATCAGCTCATTTTGCCCCCTTCCTTCCTGCTCCACTGCCCTCAAGAACTCTTGATAATTTATAAATTATTATTTTGTCATATCATGCACTGTCCGACGTCTCCCTTCACCCACTTTTCTATTGTCCATACCCCAGGGAGGAGGTCATGTGTAGGTCCTGTAATCGGTTCCCCCTTTCCATCCCACCCCGGTATCGCCACTCTCACCACTGGTCCTGAAGGGATCATCCGCCCTGGATTCTCTGTGTTTCCAGTTCCTATCTGTACCAGTGTGCATCCTCGGTCTAGCTGGATTTGTAAGGAAGAGTTGCATTGCCCCCTTTTAATCATGTATGGTTGACATTGTTCAAGGTTTGTGCAGCTTGTCTGCTGAGTTAGGCTACGGGGGTAAGTACACTTCCAGACCTGAAGAGTGGCTAAGGAGCAGAGTCTCAGGGATTCCATCCATCTCCATCCTACCAGTAAGCCTGGTCTTTATCCTCTATACTCCCCAGTCCTAACTGTGCAGAAGCCTCTAGTGTAAACACGTCTGGCTCACTGGGCAGTTAGTTGCCCAGGTGAGTGCCATTTCCTAGGTGGAAGAAGTGGTTTCTTCCTGCATTAGGGAAAATGATGTCAAGGTGGGAAGAGAGTCCATCTGGGGGAGGAACTGGTTCAGAAACTCAAGGGGGGAGGTTGGTGAAGCAAATCTCTGCCACTGGGTGTCAAGAAAGAGAGTTAATATTGAACCCTTTGATTGGACAAAAAGAAAGAAACTAGAGTAACACCATGTAAAAAAAATTAGTACACTTAGGAAAATAAGGCAGTGCGCAATATGAAAAATGTATATAATGTTATTTCCCTAACAACACGGCACTAACATCAATCTTTCATATGACTTTCAGTAAGTGAGCTGAAAAAAGTGAAGAGGGTACTCAGTAAATGGTAAATTCCACTACTGTCAGGACATGTGAGGACAGAGCTGGAGGCTCACAGGCGTTTGCCACTCTCTCTGGCACCACCTCGGACTCTCTTCCTTCACTCAGACATTATTCCTCTCGCCTTACCTTTGTGTGGGTCTTTGTCTTCATGTTATACTGTGCAATTTTCTCCATCTAATTGTGAAAGCTCACCTAATAAAGACTCATCTAATGGATCACCAGAGGCATTTAAGATCAAAGTCCTCCACTGACATCCTGGTCACTTCCATGATGCCATTTGCCAATCAATGTAATGATTTCACTGTTCCCAACAAGTTAACTCACCTTGGCATACAGAAAGGCTTCCTCCACGGGGGCCTTCCTGGTACACATGGTCTCTATAAAAGCCTGCAAAGCAAGAAAGCAAGATGAAAAGACCAGTCTCATTTACTGTGATGCTTGATCAGACATTCAAAATTCTGGGACACAATTGAAAATGATGGTTCCCTCCAATTATTTATCTCAAGTTGTGACTTAGTGGGTCTAATAACATACCATTTCAGGAAACAAGCTTTCAGGAATAGATGATTCATAACAGATTTATAGAAGGACAACTAACCATGCCATTCAAAATATACATTGAATGCTAAAGTAAGTTGTATGAAAAAACACATGTATTAAGGAGTATAATTTTTCTGCAGCCTTGGAATGCTTGTTCTATAGGAGGGCTTCTCAACCTCAGCACTGCTGTCATTTGGGGGTCCCATAATTGTAGGTAGTGGGTGACTGTTCTGTGCAATATGGGATGTCAGGAGCACTCCCTCGTCAGGACAGTCAGATGTTGCCAAGTCTTCTGGGGAACAAAATCACCCTCAGTTGGGAACCAGTGGGCTATATGCAGTCCATTGCCACTGAGTTGACTCCAACTCAGAGAGCCTATAGGGCAGAGTAGATTGTCCCGTAGGGTTTCCAAGGCTGTGCTCCTTATGGGAGCTTTTATGTCATCTGCGTATCACAGGTTGTCAGTGAGTTTTCCTTCAATCCTGGTGTCATGTTCTTTACACAATCCAGTCTCTTGGTTAGTCGCTGAGTACGCACTGTAAGCATGGTGAAAGAATACAACTGACACTTATCTTTCCCTATTTAAACCACGCAGTATCCTCTTGTTCTATTTGAATGGTCCCTTCTTGGCCTATGCACAGGTTCCATGTGAGCATGATGCAGAGTCCCATTCTTCACAATGTTAGCCATCGGTAATGACATGTAAGCATCTTTGTATTATTCTACTTTCAGCCAAATTACACCACAAAGTACAGGACCTTCTGTCTGGGTTCTTTTGCTTTGCCTATTTTTGTTTCACCCACATCATATTATGTATCAGTATTTTGTTCCTTGTTATGGTCAGATAAGATTTCATTCTACGTATTAACCACAGTTTGTTTACCCATTCATCTGTTGATGGACATCTGAATTACGTTCACACTTTGCCACTGTGAATAATGTTGCTGTGAACATTTGTGTAACATGATTTGCTTGAGGATTTGCTTTCAAATTGTGTGGGCATATATACCCAGGAGTTAAATCGTGGGTTACAACCTTGTAGTGCATTGGGTTAAATGCTTGACTAACTGCAAAGGCAGCAGTTCAGAAGCCCCAGCCACTCTGTGGAGAAATGTGGCAGTCTGCTTCCACACAGACCTGCAGCCCTGGAAACGCCACACGGCAGTTCTATTTGTCCTACAGTACTGCTCGAAGTTGAAACGGACTTGATGACGATGGGTACGACAACTCTGTATTGAACGCTTGTAGGAGCCATTAAATTCTTTTCCACAGTAGCTGCACCATTTTACATTCCCACCAGCAATGGACGAGAGTACTGATTTCTCCACATCCTCGCCAATACTTGGTTTTTAGGGGTGGGAGGTTGAGGGATAACAGCATCTGTTGTTATTGCTGGCTGCCATTGGATCAGCCTCATGGCAAGCTCTTGTACAACAGAAATGAAATGCTCTCAGGTTCTGTGTCATTCCCACGATTGGATACAGATTGGAGATGATCCATAGGGCCTTCTTTGGGTTATTTTCAAAAGCAGATCACCAGTCCTTTCTTCTTAGTCTGTCTCAGTTTGGAAACTTTGCTGAAACCTGGGCAGAAACACAGCAAAATGCAAACCTCCGTGGGCAGACAAGTGGTAGCTGTGTGTGCGGTATGCTGTCTAGGATCAAACCTGGCTCTCCTACATAAAACAAATAAAAAATGCACAAGAATTCCTCTCACAACCATCAATCCTTCCATAATCAGCCTAGAGGCTGTGAAGTGGTGCTTACTGGATTCATATTTGTGCTAATGGAAGGTGTCCTGGTGGCACTGTGCTATCAGGGAAGCACTGGACTAGCACAGGCGAGCAGTTCAAATCCACCTGAAAGATGAGGTTGTAAAGATTTACGCCTTGGAAATCTGTAGGGTGACTGAGTTGGATTGACTCATGACACTGGGTTTGGCTTTGGTTTAACGACTAATGATGTTGAGCAGCTTGTCATGTACTTGTTGGCCAGTTGTTTTATCTTTCTTGGAGAAATGTCTATTCAAGTTTCTTGCCCATAATTTTGATTGGGTTGAATTGTAGTTCTTAGTATAGTCTGGATATTAGATCCTTATCATATATATAACGTCCACATATTTCTCTATTTTGTAACTTTTCACTCAATTGTTTTCTTTGGTGCACAAAAGTTTTCATTTTTTAAAAGTCCTGTTTATTTTTCCTCCTTTTGCTGCTTGTGCTTTTGGTGTATCTATGAATACATGGCCAGATCCAAGGTCCCAAAGATTTGTCCCTTTGTTTTTTCTAAGAGTTTTTATACTCTTTAAGTTTTATTTTGTTGTTCTTAAAAATAAACACAGCAAAACAACACATACCTTGATCACAGGGAGCTACATATAACCTCCTCTCTGGGGGATGGGCAACAGAGGGGTAGGTGAAGGGAGACGCCGGGCAGTGTAATATAAGATATAATAATAATTTATAAATTATCAAGGGTGCATGGGGGAGGGGGGCAGAGGAAGGGAGGGGGAGGAAAATGAG